TTTGCAAACAATAAGTCTTTCTTTGTCTAACAGCAGTATCGGTCTTGTGTTTGATGGACAGACATGAGTTATTTAGAGCACACCTCTTTGATTACGTATGACGATGATGAGTTGTGAAAATCGTAATTCTCTCTATTTTAAATACAGGCGTTTCAGAAGGGTATAATTTTAAATTTTGAATCTTGCACTATATTTTATTGTACAGTAACCTTCTTTAAAAATCATACATTTTTTATTTCATTAATTTTTTTTATAAATGCTGTTAGCAATTACATTGTAAAATGTACTTTTCAGTTACAGTACATATAATCACGTAAATGTTGGGTAAGGAGTGGATAAACACTAAATAATTAAAAATACTTACATTTTTGATTTTATGCATGTTATTGTTGTGGTACAGAAGTCAATATCACGGAGATTTGCAAGTCATATAATTGAGCACTTCCTCTGTTTTTGTGTGAGTGTTGAGTGTATTTCAGTCACTGTGGGCCTCAGAGCACAGTAGTACACAGCAGAGTCAGACACACGCAGATTCTTGATTGTCAGTGGAACTGAATCTGACGACACTTCAGAGTCAAATCTCTCCTGGAACTGAGCGTCATTATCTTCACCTCCATATTTATTTCTCCTCAGCATGTATTTGGGAAAGTCATTAGCTCTTTGGATGTACCAGAAGTGGTCCGGTTGTGATGAAGAGGTTTTATATTTGCATTGCAATGTTACTGGTTTTCCTTCAAATTCAGTGATGTGTTTATCTGGCTGATCAACACTGTCTTCTCCATGACACTCTGTAAAGACGTTAAAAAATTTAATAAACTGTAAAAACTTTACCTATAGTAAGGTTATAAAACTGTTTTAAGTAATTACAAAATGACAAATTCCCCCACTTACCATGATAAACTGATGCAAAAATGAACAACTTCAACACCATAGGAGTTATCATTTTATGTGTGACTGAAACAGGAGAAAAACGACAAATCATTCATTCATTCAGTCATTTGTTTCAGTTGGAAATAGGATGGATGGTTCTTAGAAGGAGAGGAGAGGTTAAACATAAACAAAAGTAGTAATGTGTGTATACTGCCCTCTTTAGGATATTATTGTAAAGAGATTTTACCAGAATGAGTTTTATGAGAACATTCAATAATAGCATATGACAGAGCAATATTTAACACTGTTCCCAATGTCAACATTCAGTTATTGATAATATTCACTTCTGACAAACATGTATGATTGTACTTACATTGTATTTACAATTGTGTACATAGCCTACAGTATGTGCGGAGCAAAGATCACAGGTGATGTGAATGGTCCAATTCTGTGGAAATATGGGAGCTTTATGCTGTTCTGTGCACATAGATTTAAAGTGAGCTTGGTTATTTTATCTTTTGTAATGTTTCAGAGCTTTTTTATGAGTATTTCACCCTCAAATCCTACTGTATTTCTGCCTATCATTAGGAGACCATTGTTTTCTTTTATAGTCAGGTTTTTGTACAGCGTTCTTGTGTTTCCTGTGACTGTGACTGTGGGCCTCAGAGCACAGTAGTACAGAGCAGAGTCTGATACAGCAGCAGAGGACATGATCAGATCCACATGGTTTTGTTTTTCTGTTTTTCTGATATTAGTAGTGAGTCTGTAATCTACACCAGATATCTGAGTTTTTTTTACACTGTCTACGATGAGCACAAGGAACTCAGAAGCTGATCCGGGATACTGACGGTACCAAAGTAAAGACAATGCAGATGAATAACTGCAGGATATTTTAACATTTGAACCTTCAGCAGCAAATTCCTCTGTTTTGTCTGGTGTAATAGTATCTGCATTACTGGCACCTGCAAAGAAAAGCGAAATGTTAGTTTTAGTCTCAGATGGTGTTAATATTATATGACTATACTGATACTGAAACATTAAAATTTCAGTAGTTCATTTACTTAGAGCACTTTTATATCCCACCAAATAAGACCATATGATTAATTATTAATTAACATACTTCATTGTGAAAATAGGCTAAATGTAGGCCTAATGCATTAAAATGAAACTTACATGCTAAAGCAGAAAGCAGAATAACTAAATGGAGTATCATTGTACAGTCGTATATGTGTGCTTACAGTCTGAGCTTGAATGATCTTATGACAGTCTCTGTCAGATTCAGCCAAATATCCTCACAGATATACTTCAAGCCCCTCCCTCACCAAAAAAGGCAATACATTTAAGTATCATTTTGTCATTGTCTCCTTTTTGAATACAGTTGCTTCATAAAATGTTACAAAGACCCAGAGTAGTTTTCGGATTTATCTCTGATAATTTCAGTCATTGATTTGATTTCTTTTGTAGCTTCTGAATACAGACAAAGATCAGACTCAGATTTGCTTCAATATTCAGTTACAAGAAGTAGATGCTGGTATTACCACTGGAGAGAGTTAACAATGACATTTTGATGTAAAGACAATAAGAAATAAAGGCAAGTTACCAACTGCAGCTAGTAGAAGTAAATTCCTCAACCAGTTTAACATAGTTTACATAAAGCTTTACATAAAAACTGCAATATTAGCTAAATATTATTAACAGTCTGAGTTTATGATTATGATGAGCCAGTCTGAGTTTGGATTTCACTGTGTGTTTGCACAGGTTAAACACATATAGGAGGAGCTTGTATGTATAACAGGATACAGTTTGGCCTCAAGGTGGCAAAGATGTGCAATTACAGTACTACTATTTAAAAAAAGAAAAGGCAAACAGGTTTCCATTTATCATTTTTGACTTTTATTTTATTTATTTATTTTACTGATCACCTTAAATTAAAAGAAGAGGAAGTTGTTGAATAAACATAGATGAATGTAATATTGTATTCATGCAGGAAACTAATGACACTGTAGGGATTTCATGAACAGGACACTGATACGCCACTGAATAATTTGAAATCGGTTTAATCAGGTGAACTTCGGATTTTCAGATCCGAGTCCTATCAAAACCTGAATTAATTAATAATAATTAATTCCCTTACAAATTTAAGTAATCAAGTTATCTACAACACATTAAAACTGAATATATTTTAATGTTTTCTTTCTGGTTTACTTTTATGCTGTAAATTAATCTACTTCACAGGTGTTGCCACAAACTTTATTACATTCAGGGCTGGATAGATTGTGGTTTTGATTGTGGTTTTCACTATTAGTTCAAAGTGAAAAGAGCTTCAGGTTTTTGTATGACATGTCTTATGTTTTGTAACACTGGGCTCCTACTCTTAGAGCACAATAATAGTGAGCTGAATCTGACAGACGTACATCAGTAATAGTGAGTTCAGTGGATGTTTGTGTTGTAGTTGCATGAAACCGATCATCAGCAGTATTTGCAGCACTCAGTGATCGAGCACCTTTATATGCTAAAAACATAATTTCCCCATGTAGATACTGTCTGTACCAGTAAAGACGAACATCATTGCTGGTTGTACTATACGAGCAGCTCAGCTTGACAGTTTCTGTTTCTTTTGTGATAACATTTTTCTCTTTATCTGGCTCAATACTGTCCCCGGACACCAACCCTGTGAACAAAAAGCAGAATATACAGTAAACCAAACACATTTCCAACACAAGACACCGCACAAACAGTAAAAATTACTAAAATAAGTTTAAAACATTGTGGAGATTTAGATTTTCCAAACTCCACTGTTTCTTCCTTTTCTGAATAATTAATGTACCTGTTCCCATAATGACAATGATTAGAAAGCATCTGTCCATGTTGAATAAGATGAGCTCAGTTCTTTCTTGAGCCTTTCAATATTCTGCACTGTGTATGAGACACTGAAGGTCATAAAGACACCCAGAAACTTCCTGTCACATGATGCTGTTTGCTTTGCATACAAACTATTCAACTGATCACAAGCTATCTATCTATCTATCTATCTATCTATCTATCTATCTATCTATCTATCTATCTATCTATCTATCT